AAAAAAAAAAAAAAAAAAGTGGATTCGAAGCGGCGCGCGAATAGTCAGAGCGGAGAGAAAGTATTCCTCGAACGGACAAAAACCCGGCATCGACATGTCGATCGAAAGAAGTGTCGCTAATTTGATGTAGCCGGTGTATACGGCGGATCGTATGGCGGAGCGGTTTGGTCACTCGCGAGTTGATTTATACCGGTGGGCAAGAACCTCGTGGCAAACCTCGTTGTCTTGCTCATTGCTTCCACCGCTTGCTCTTTCTCTCTTCTCATCTCGTTGACCCTCTCTCTCCATCTCTCTCTCTCTCTCTCTCTGCTCACTTTGAACAATGGAATTGCGTCGCGACGTCAATCTCTCTGTATTATTCACCTCGCCCCTGCTCTCCTTTATATCCCTAGCTGTTCCCCGTTTTCGTTACCTTTTCTGTATTTCTTCTTCTCCTTTTTTTTCTTCGATCTTTGTTTCTCGGTTTTTCTCTTTTCTCTCTCTCTTTCTTTCTCTTTCTCGGTCATTTTTTATTTTAAGAGTTTCTCTTTTCGTGCAACTGTCTCGCTAGTCTCCTCCTCGCGAGAGAGAATAAATCGAGAGACGAGGGATCGTTTAAAATCGTGTTACCGAAGACTGACGTCTCGCTAGGGATTCCGCTAATTTCACGGATATCGATTCAAACTTTAACGTACGCGCGATGGATCGATAAATATCGCGTTTTTTTCGATACGATGAACGAGAAGAATGGTATTTTTTAAGTATGATTTGAGTAGAGAGGATTATAAGGATACTTTGGACGGTTCGTAGATTCGAAGCGAATGAACGAGTGTCAAAAAACGTGGAGATAGAGTTTGGTGATCTTTTTAGGAACGCGTTTTTGTTCAATTTATCAAAATTTGTTGGATTAATTATAAAACATACCTGTCCGTCCAACAGAGAGCATCATCTCGATACCTGAAACAGAGAAAATTTTAATTAATTTTCGTCTAGCGAAATTTCACGAGGAATACAAATATCATATATATATATCGATTGTATTAATTTATCACGGTGCACGATCTTCTCTCTCAACGTCCCCTATACGTGGCAGCCTCGACACTTGAAAGAACGTATCGCAGCTTACAGGAAAAAGCTTTTATATGAAAGCCTAGCTGTGAATAAGATCGCCGTCGTAAATTGTGCGCGAGGCTAATCTCACGGTTGAACGCGGCCATAGACTTCGCTTCGTTTGACTTCGGCCACCTCGAGACACTCGAAAAAGTACGAGGTCGCATTGGATTTTCAATTCGTCCACCCTCGACACACTCCCGATTTCTTCCTGCCCAATTCAATTCCCTTCCAAACATTCCCTTATATCGCAGCAAATTTATCATACAGCAAGCAGATCGTAAAAAATTTTCCATCCATTTTCATTCCAACAACAAACTTTGAACTTTTTCAAAATTCTCGCATTAATCGGAAAAAAAGCGATTCGAAAATACGACTTTTTAATTTCCTCCTCCTCCAAAAAAAAAAAGAAAACCTAAAACTCTCGTATCGTCAAACTTCGATAAAGAGGGGCAAACCCTCTCGGAGAAAGACGAGAAGAAAAATGAAGAGAGAGAGAGAGAGAAAGAGGGGGAAGTTGGAGAAGTCGCGCGTGGTGTCGCGGATGAATCAGAAGGTGCGAAGAAGAAAGTGGGGCCTGTCAACGGGACATGATTTAAAGCCAAATATTACGACAGAGGGCACATTTCTCGAACACGTCCCGTCCCAATGTTCACCCCAGCCTCGTGGCGCGGGGGTGGCGAGGGATGAGCCGTAAGTCGTGCAGATATGTTCGCCACGGTTTATTACCGGGACGCTGGAATGGGCCAAGCCCTAAGGAACATTGATTTAATGCGGGAGTAATTGGGCGACCGGACGTCTCTATGAGCACGCCACCTTCCGCCGCTAACGCGCTCTCCCTCACCCCTCTAACCTTTCCGGTTAACCACCATGCAACGCCACACGCTTCGTTCCCGACCCATCCCCGAGCCTTCTTTTTCCCTCCTTTCCTCCGCGCTCTTCTCCCCGTCTCCGGCAACGCGAGAGAAGAGAGAGAGAGAGAGAGAAACGCGTTATTGCCGGTTTTATTGCTCGACGAGTTTTAGCCGCAGTTCGGATCGGCTTATGGCGCTTATTAAACTTTGATGTCACCAAATCGCTCGCGCGCGACCGAGCCCGCCCCCCTTCAAGCGTGGCGTGCATGCTTAACCGTTCGGAATTATGATGCGGGAGGAGGAGTGATTGAGAAAATTAAGTTTCTTTTGCTTTCTTTTTTTTTTTTTTGAGGAGAATTCGTTCGATTTGGAAAATAGTTATTAGAGGGGAATCGAATTACGAGCTTCTTTTTTAATTTATTTATCATATTGAAATTTCTCACGAGATTTCACTTTCTTTTTTTCTTCGCAGAATCGATCGATGTCACCTTCGCAAGAACAAGATCATCCTTAATGTTAGGATGTTGACTCGGTTAAAAACTTGAACGATACGCGTAACAACTCGTGATTCTCACCTTTCGAGGACGACGTCGTCGTTTATTCGGGCGTTTAACGACACCAACAATGTGTTTTTACGAGAGTCTAGACGAGAAAAAATTTCTTACATTCCCGTAAAATTTTGTTGCTCGAGAGATTCCCGTTAAACGGTATTACCAGAAATTCACACTGATGATCGGGATCGCGTGCAGGAAATTGAAGGTTACGCTTAGATTTGCGTGCGATATCGATGATGAAGTCTTCGAGCTGCTCAAATTTTATTAGCCACGAACTCCGTAATCGCCGTGAAGTAAATGCAAATGATTTTCGAACGAAATAGCCGGTTGCGCCTTATTTTTCCCGCTTCACGTAACACGAATTAACCAGTTGGGGTAATGCCCGAAAATTACCGAGCATTTAGTCCCGTGAAGAATGCGCGATCCCTCCTCTTGTTCTATCGAAATTGTTTATGCTATGGACAAAAATACTTCATATTTCCCTCCTTTATAAAAAAAAAAAAAAAAAGAAAAGAAAAGAAAAGAAAAAGTCTACTCCATCATTATCTCATTCCAAATTAATTATCCCATCGATTTCTCAATCGAAATATCCAAAATTTTAATATTCCATTATCGAATTACAGCTCGAAAACAAGACAATGCGATATAATATCGAAACTTGACTTTTATCTGAAATTTCAATATCCTGCTAAATTACCAACTCGATTTCCATCCAAAATTCCACTATAGTCGAACGCTCACGTACAGGGGAAACAAGTCGAAACAAAATTCGAGGCAATATCCACCTTCAAACTCGTAGCCAAAATCCCAATATTCCCTTGACCTCCCCCTCTGCCAAGCCCTCGGTTAAAAGAAAGGCACGAGCGAACTTGGAGTTCGAAAATTACCACGAGTGGGAAAGGATTGGATCGCGCCACGTGTCGATAAGACGAAACAGATCGGAAGACGGGACGTACCGCAAACGTGGCCTACGAGCACAGTCATAATACGTGGACTAGGGTGGGGTGTGTGCATCCACACATGGCGGCGACCGAACGGTGTAAAGTTTAACTTTGCCTAACACCGGGTGCGCGAAATGTCCGCCCCCCTCCTCTCCTCCGAGAGCCACCTCCCTACGGGGTGAGAGTTCGCGCGGGGATAAACGCAGAAACGCGGCAGGCTAAAGCGGAACGCTCGAGGGAAACGCGGCGTGTAATAACTGAGCGATGTGTCGACGTAACGAGCTTTCGCTCGAGAAAGAAAAATCGAGGGGTAGTTTTTTCTTTCCTTTTGCTTTCGACATCCTCTTTCGATATTTTATTTGGAATTTTAA